GGGGGGGGGGGGGGAGTGCAATTTAGAAGTGCAAGAGTGAAAGGACTCCATTAAAAGCAGACTAGGTAACTTGGGTTTTCGTTTTGTTTTTTTTTTGTTTTGTTTTTTTTTTGTCTTTCTTGAGACAGGGTCTCACTATGCAGTTCAGGCTGACTTTGAGCTCACTTTGTAGCCAAGGCTGGTCTCAAACTTGCGACGATCCTCCTGCCTCAGCCTCCCAAGTGCTGGGATTACAGGCGTGCGCTACCACGCCCAGCCAAGACTAGGTAACTTGTTACCATTCACATTTTATGGCTAGCTAATGCTGCCTCTATACCACACACCACCTTTCTCAACAAGATCAGTTATAAAATGACGGGTGGAGGGTGTAGTTCAGTGGTGGGAATGCATGTTCAGGATGTATAAGGCCATGGGTGAGATCCCCAGCAACAAGCCTGAGGGGTAAATAAAATGATAAGCTATTTCAGCAGAACCAAACTGATGAGGATTCAGAAAAATGAGCAAGTAAGCCAAAAATGAAAGCACAGAGGTACTTATCCCCTTAAGTGACTTAACCCTAGAGCACAGGTTCTGTTATGTAGGAAGGAAATATAACCCATATACATATGTAGTTTGGAGCCCAGATGCCCCCTAACCAAAGCACAGAAAACAGGTTTTCCTTGTCTCCTCCTCTCGTTTCACCTGCTGCTGTCACTGGGTATAAATGGAGATGCTGAAGGAAAATAACATCTTGCTCATAGTAGACAGTGGGAGAAAACTGAGCCTCCTCAGAACCCCTACAACTTCTGTGTCCCTATTCCACCTGTTCCCTTTGGCCAGCTGCTGATTATGAGGTTCCCAAAGAAAGCAGACGGGCAGGCTTCCCATTCAACCAATCAGAACAGCAGGTTACCCTACAGTTCCCTACTGAAGTGTCCTTACGTCCTAGGAAATGAAGAAACAGTGTCCACAAATGCTTTGCCACTGGAAAATTAGATAAAATATGGAAAAATTATGGTCCCAATTATGCATCAATGAATGCCATTTTACAATAGGCCTCAGTACCCTGAGCGGTAACTCCCTATGTTTGAGAAAGGGGGGAAAATAGCCACTTTTAAGTCCTAAATCCTACGCCAAATTATCCAAGGTACTAGGAATTATCAGAGCTTCTAGGTCAGTGGTTCTCAATCAAAGGCAAATTTGTGCTCCAGGGGATATTTGACAATGTCTGGAGAAATTTTTGCTTGTCACGCCTAGAGCAAAGGGGTTGCTACCATCATGTAAGAGGCCAGTGTTGCTGTTAAGCATCCTATAATGCATAGACAGTCCCTCATTACAAAGAATTGTCTAGCTCAAAATGTCAACAATGCTGAGGATGAGAAGCCCTATTCTGAGTGAAGCAAGGGAAGGGCTAAAAGAATGCACATATTTTCCACACTAGATCTGGAGAAGGAAGACATTAGCCCCTCTCCCAACCCAAATCCATCAAACAGTATTCCAGAGGAAAAGAAAGGCAACAGACATAAGATCACTTAACTCAACTCCAACTAGCACAAAGGAGTTTCATCCCATCTCAGCCTTGGCTCCTCTATCACCTGCTGTTGCCATTCAGGTGAACAGCAGGTGGTAGGGCTACACTCCCTTCTGCCCCATCCCAGGAGGTCTACTTTGACCTAGTTCACTGGAGTTGTGTGACAATAAGAGAAATGCTACCCTCCTCAAGACAGACACAAAGGATCCTGCCCTTAGACTTCAGGGCCATTTTTAAAGTACTGAAATTAGCCAGAAGCAAACCCTTCCTTGTTAGGTCACTGATCAGACTGACACTACTTAGTCAATGAGGCAAAACATAGCAGAAGTAAGTTTCCCAAGGCCATGTCCTTGGGAGAAATGTCAGGAGGCTGACACACAGGCTAATAGGCAGCTCTCCCACTTAATTATCATCTAGGATTGTGAGTTAACTCACTCAGCAACTAAGATGGGGGTTCTGGAAATCCGTCTTCAGGATTAAAAGAACATGACCAACCTCCTCATAAACCAAAATATACTCAGCTTTCTGTGGCAGTGAAGAAAGGGAGCTCAGTCTAAAATGTAGATATTCTAGTTGAAAGGTATCAAGAGTGATGAGAATGTTCTCTAAAAGGAGGGTTATAAAGAACTCCAATCTGGGCATCTTTTTTTTTTTTTTTTCTTTTTTCTTATGTGTTTTTTTCTGGTACCAGGAATTGAACTCACGACCTTGCGCTTGCCAGGCAGGCGCTGTGCCGCTGAGCTAAATCCCCAGCCCCTCCAATCTGGGCATCTGAAACACCGCTAGAGACTAAGAAACAAACTCTCCAGTAAACAATGTCTTACTACTGGCTTCTCCAGTTCTACTGGAGGCACTTAACATGATCTCCCCGAACCCTGCCAAGACTTTCCCAAGAATAATTTTAATTATGTGAATTGTTGTATTTCCTGAAGGTTTTTCTTTTTTTTGAGACAGTGTCTCCCTGTGCAGTTCAGGCTAGCCTTGAGCTCACTTTGTAGCCCAGGCTGGTCTCGAACTCACATCAATCCTCCTGCCTCAGCCTCCCGAGTGCTGGAATTACAGGCGTACAACATCACGCCCGGCTCCTGAAGTTTCAGATTTGGTGTTGTTTGTTTTTGAAACACTGTCTCATTATTTCGTCCAGGGTGGCTCTGACTTCAGCATATAACTCAGACTGTCCTGGAACTTTCAATCCTCCTGCCTCAGCCTTCTAAGTGCTGGAAGTATAGGCATGCGCCACCATGCCTATTTGTTTTTCTTTTGGAAGGTCCAAGTAAGCCTAGAGCCAATTGACAGTCTACATGTATTTACAGGATTTCCTCCTAACGGGTTGATCTCTGTTAAGTTTCCACGGTCAATCAGTCTCATTTCAGCCCATCCAGGGATGACACCTGTGCTTTCTGAAGCACTCTGACCTTTTCAGAAGCCCTGAGGAAGCACATGTGAAAGAAAAGAATAATGTCTTGAAATGAAAATGGTAATCTAGTTTCTTCTCCAAAGGGACGGTATCTGTAGGTTCAGGAGAACTAGATACCTGACTCTCTCAGAAGTTTAGAGGAAAGTCCTATGGGAGAAGTAAAGAGTGATCTCTTGAAACAAATGAAAACTACATAGGAGAAAAAAAAAAAGAATAAGAAAAATTCCATCCATAGTTAAGAGGACATAAAGTTTTCTTGCAGCTGGGATTAGGAAAATATAACCAAGTATCTGGAAGTCAGAGTTTACAAAGTATGTTTTCAAAAGAAGATTCCAGGAACTCTGAAAAACTCTGGGACAGAAAGCTAGAGGAAAGCCTTTCCAGCAACCCTCTAAGGGCAAGATTTAGTAGTGCACTAGTACAGCTTTCCATATGTTAAAGTGTTTCTTGTAGTGCAGACCAAAAAGACAAGACCCAAAACTGGGGGTTTGTCCCAAGCCACCTAACTTTCCCTCCTTTCCCTTCTATTGATAGCCAGGTACTTGACAGGACAACAGATCTCAATGCACTCAGGTGAGTAAAACTCATTTTCCTTGGCGTCTACCCAATACCTAGCTCATGCCATTTTCATTCTGTTCGGTTGTTACAAAAACAATAAAAAGTTCTAGACTTACCTCTGGAAGAAACTTAATTTCCCAGGTCTCTTCCTACCACAAGTTTCAAAGCCAGCAGAAAAACAAAAACAAATGGGGGAGGGAGTCAAACTTGAAGCTTTATTTTGACAGTGTTAGTCAATTTCAGTCGCAAAAATTGAAAGAAGCCTAAAGCTATTTCAATCAAATTGATCCACTCCAAGATAAAGAACTAACTCGTAACAAAACCTTCAAGCTTCCCTAACTCCCGGTTAGTCAATTCACAAAATACCAGCTCTAAGAATTTCCAGTCCCAATGTCTCATGGCAAGAAAGGTCTCGAATTTGACAGCTTCCAGGAAAGTCCATGACCCTCTGCTAACTTTCTCACCTTCCTTCTTAATTCTCTTTCCCTTCTGTCACTTTCATCTTCAGAGAAAACTGGGAGGAAAGTGGTTACAGTTAATGAAAGCACTTTCTTCCCATCACTTACCAGACTAGAACTATCCTTCAAATTCTATCTTTGCCCTTTCCTCTAACTAGCACACGATGCGAACAAAACACCCACTGGGGCAGCATCCACTCACACATCTACATTTCAGCAGGGGACGTTTTCTATATATGTATATTGACGCCCTCTCTTCTAGTACTTAAAACAGCAAAAGAAGGGTCTGAGAACTAAAAGACTGTGAATTAGCCTGCCTAGACGCCAGTCTGTTTTCTCCTCAGACTTCTCAGCACACAGGGGTCCAATACAGCCGAGCCGGTTTCGCGTCTTGTATTGCTAAGTACTAAAAACTAGAAAAGTCCTTCACACTCCACACCAGCTTCCCTATTTCCTTTCTTTTTGTAACCAGGAAAAACAAGAGAGCAGTAAGCCAAAGAGCCTTTTTGGAAAGCAAATCCAGTTGAACCCTCATTCAACCTCAATTCTCCAAACCCACATGACCATTCCCTTCTGCCCTTCCCACCCTATTAAAAGCTAAGGGCCTGGCAATTAGAATTGGCTGCAAGTGATGCTGCTTAACTCGGCTCTCTTCCTTGCCACAGGGGGAAGGGAAACCCCCGAACCTCTTATCACCCGTGCAGCGCCACTGTCCTATCTCCCATCCCATTCCCCTTCCTCCCAAACTTTCCTCCCAGTCTCTCACTTTCTCCATTGCCTCGCTACACCGACACTCTCTCCGGTCCCTAAACCCTCGTTCTCTCCTTTTCCACCCAAATTCTCGCCTAGGCCCTTCCCCCCTCCCACTTGCAATTTAACACTTTCAAAACCTTCCTCGACGAAACGTCTCGAGTCCAGTTCTCACCTTCTCCTACCTCCTCACAGCAGCTCCGAGTTCAGCCCTCCTTCCAACCACATGCCACAAGCCCCTTCCCCGGGAACCCGGTCTCTCCCTCCTGCTCCCACCCCTTTCCATCCGGCCGTCTCCAGCCCCACTCCCCACCTCGGCCTCTCTAATACCCCGGGCCTGGTGCGGCCCGGCCCTTGTTGACGGCCCTCCCCACACCTCCACCCAGCGCCGCGACCCCTGCCCTCTGCTACAGTTGCCACCTCCCCTGCACGCCCCCTCGGCCGCGCCCCTCCCCCACCTCGCAGCGTCCCGTCACCTCCCTCTCCGGAGGTTCTCAGGCTGGACGTCGCCACCGCCTCCCCCTCCACTTTCCTTCCCCAGCCCTTTGCGGCCCCGCCCGGCCCCGCCCCGTCCCGCTCGACTCCCCCTCCCCACCCCAGCGGCCCCACCGGCCCACAGCCCCACCGCCCCGCCGCCTCACTCTTGGCTCAGGCTCGGCGCCGCCATGTTGGATCCATCCGCGCCGCCTTCCCGACCCGTCTCAGGGCTCCGCATCCGGGCTCCGGCCACCGCCGCCGCCGCCGCCGCGGGCGTGGGGGAGGGGAGAGGCGGGCGGGGGCGGCTGCATCCTGCACAGCGCCTCCCGGAACCTGGCCGGTTAGCGGCGGCTTCGAGACCATAGCGAGGCATGAGCCAGAGTAGCCATACTAAGTGAGGGCAGCCTGGCAGCAGCCTTAAACGGGGAGTGGATGGCTTCATGTGGAGAAGAAAGAATGGAGATTGGTAGCCATCTTGCTTTGGGGCAAACTGGCAGCGCGGGTGTGTCGGGACGAAGTCATCCGGGCGGTAGGAAGGGATAGAAGAGTGTAACATTCTTCAGTGTAGAAATATAGGTGGCGCTAGAGTTGTCTGGTGTCGGCTTCGCGACCCACTGAAACACTGGGATTGGTAGCCATGACGCCTAAAGGCGGAATAGCACTGGGGTTGGACTGTCGCGTGAAGGTGGGTGAAAGTTCAAGATCTGAATTTGACCTTTGCTCTGGGCTTCCTGGTCACCCGGACGTTCGAGAAACCCGGACGTGGAGCAGGGAGTGCTGCTCTGATTCTCTCTCGGAATTCAGTCTTTCGGCATTTGCCATCTGAGCGCCCACTTCTTGTAGGAAGTGTCGCCCGAGCTGAGTCTTGAAGGACTTGGGAACTGAACTGGGGCGGGGAACAGGGGGCGCAGGTATGTTCCGGAGCTGCTCACAGGCCCGGCAGGGCGAAAGAGAGAGGTAATGCACAAGGCATGTAAAATAGAGAGGGACCAGATTATGCCAGGCCATGGAAATTAATTTTATCTTAAGGGCAGTAAAGAGACTTTGAAGGGTCTAAGCAGAGAAGTGAACAATTAGATTCGATCACTGCGTGCCCGGGGCGAGCACCTTATAGTACCAGCAATTTAAGGACACGGAGGCCAGAGCATCGCTGGAGCCTTGGAGGGTAGCTTGGGGCGGGAAGGTGTGGTTTTAAAGGGGCGAGGGGTGTGGTTCGGTGCTAGAGTGCGTGCTTAGCATGTGTGAGGCCTTGGATTAAATCTGTAGCGAAGAAAAAAAAAAAAGCACTATTTTCAGTTGAAGGATGGATTGGAGGGCCTAAAGATAGAGACGAGGAGAACCGTGACGCTTTTACTCAGGGAACAGATAGGGATGTGACTCAGCAGTACTGCTCTTGAGGCCTTGGGCTGGGTCCCCAGTCCGCAAAAATGAAATTTAAAAAAAGCGGGGTAGGCATGGGAGGCATAGATTGCGTTAGGGGGTTTCAAACGTTTTGTTTTGTTTAAAGACAGGGTCTCACTGTGTAGTTCAGGCTGGCCTTAAACTCACTATGTAACTCAGGCTGGCCTGAACTTGCAGTGATCCTCCTGTCTCATCCTCCTCAGCACTGGGATTACAGGCATGCAGCACCATGCCTGGCTCGGTTTTTGTTTTCTATTTTTTGTTTTGGAGGACAGAATGAATTTTAGGTGCCTGTGGGCTATCCATTAGACAAATACTAGATAATGCAGGTTGGGAACCTAAAAGGTTTCAGGTGTGTTCGTGTGTATAGATAGTTGTAAAATGGCCTGGATGAAGGATGCCATTCATTGGAGGAATGAGGTGAGGAAAGAAAGCTAAAAGGAAGACACTGAAAAAAGGAAAACAGAAAGGAAAGAAAAAAAAATCTGGAGAAAAGTATCAAAGACACAGCCCAGTGCTAAATGTAACAGAAAGGTTAGGTGAGGATGTGGACTAAAATACGTTCATTGGATTTTGCAACAAAGAATTTAGTAAATTTAAAGTAAACTGTTTCATAAAGATGTAGGATAGAGACCAGGTTGAACTGGGAAGGCACAGAGTATAAAGAGTTTTTTTTAACAGGGGTTGACTAAACAGGAGGCTAGCTGCAGAGTTTTGCATGAGGGAGAATTCCAAAAGACTTTTAGGTAACAAGTGGGACCGCTAGATGGAGATGTCCAAATAGCAGTTGAATGCACGTGCACAGATCTGAAACTTCTGAGAAAAATATAGTAAGTGGAAAACAAGTGCAAGAGAATATGGCACATTTACACTTAAGTTTTGTTCTGTTTTCTGAGACAGGGTCTCACTATGTAGTTGAGACTGGCTTTGAACTCACTGTGTACTCCATGTTGACTTCCAACTAATGGCTATCACCCTGCCTCAGCCTCCTGAATGCTAGGATTACAGGCGTGTGCCACCATGCCCAGTTCTCATTTACACTTACATTAAATATTAGCCATTAGGGCCAGGTGTTGTGGCCCATGCCTGTAATCCCAGCACTTAGGAAGCTGAGGCAGGAGAATCATTGCAAGTTCGGGACCAGCCTGGTCTACAAAGTGAGCTCAAGTCCAGCCTGAACTGCATAGCGAGACCCTGTCTCAAAAAAGACAACAGACAAAACAAAACAAAAATTAGCCATGAGGCTGGGGATTAGTTCAGTGGTACAGCATGTGCCTAGTGTGTGCAAGACCCTGGATTTTCTTCCCTAGAATTGGAGAAAATTAACCATGAACAGTGAGTGTGGGAGGTGTGGAGGAAGGACTGTGATTGCTGATGGATTGATTACTGATGGTCGACTTATGATCCCCAGCCGTGCTGAGTGCACGTGGTGCAGGGTGTGGGAGGCTCGCCCGAGGATGGTTACCATCAGCTGAGAGGCAGAAATGGAAAGGGATAATGAATTTCTTCTGTTGGTCTGAGTTACATGCTTGGTTTTAATAAAAGGTGATTGAGATGAGTGATCGGGGCTGCAGTCCCTGAGACTGTAGGCCCCCTGATCCCAGACTTATAGCTCTCCTGGTTTTCTTTTTTGTTTTCGTTTTTTTCCAGTACCGGGAATTGAACTCACGACCTCCCGCTTGCCAGGCAGGCGCTGTGCCGCTGAACTAAGTCCCCAGCCCCTCTCCTGTTTTTCTTATCTCTTTTTACCTTTTCATCTGCGGCCACCTCCTTCTTGGGACCTGTCACTACAGTTAATACCAACATATGACGCCTGAACAGGGACTTGAGTAGGAAAGTAAGTCTTCGAGACTAGGGTAAAGAAATTAAGGACTTGAGTATGAAAATCAGTCTTCGAGACTAGGGTATGAAAATAAGTCTTCAAGACTAGGAAAAGGAATTAAGGAAATTAAGTCAGTGCTCGACGGACCAGAGGAGAATCAGCGGGCAGGTAAGCCCGGTCTCCGGGATTGTTTATCAGGGTTATGGGAAATTTTCTGTTTCAGAAAAAAATATGAAACATAACAAGAGATTTTACAGGAGATAGAAAACAAGGAAACACTATCGTTTCAGGAACAGGGACCAATTGCAGAGGAGGAAGGAAGGAAGTATTGGATCTTTTAGATCCAATAGTAACTATAAGACGGGGAGGGGCTGGGGATTTAGCTCAGTGGCAAAAGCGCCTGCCTGGCAAGCGCAAGGTCGTGAGTTCAGTTCCCGGTACCGGAGAAAAACAAACAAACAAAAAAAAACAAACAAACTATAAGACGGGGAAATTGGATTTTCCTCTGCCTCTTTCTTTGGTCTCTTACGCATATTTTTTGGCTTCTCAGGCATATCTGGTACAACCCTCAGCCCCTACATGTGATAAGTTGAATCCTTTTAGGGACCCACCTCAGTGATCTCTTTGCCACCACCAGAGGTAGTGCAGCATTAGATAACCCCTCCTTAGAGAATGTTCTGTTATCCCCTGCTTTAGGAATTCAAAAGATTAGAACCAGGATTTATGGGTCTCTATGTGAGGAATCAGTTTTTTTGATTGTGGGAAAAAGTAGTTTGACTTCAAAAGGGATTATAGTACAAATAGGAGTAATAGATTCTGACTCTAAAGATGAGATTCAGGTTATGATGCAAGCTTCATAACCATATCAAATTGAAGCAGGCGAGGTCATAGCCCAATTATTGCTGCTTTCATATGTAAAAGGTCGTACCACTCCCATAGAGCGTGTGGGAGGTTTTGGAAGTACTGGAAAATGGGAAAGAGGTATTTTTCAAATTTGGGGGAGAGGATTTCTTCTGTCATTACAGATTGAGGAGTTAAAGTGTGGTTACCTGCTAGAAGAATCAAATCTTGACATGAGCCACAAAAGAGTCAGACTCAATCTGAGTCCTCCGGTGAAAAAAAAAATGAGAGTGATGCCACTAGAGCACCAGCCTTAGATAATAATCAAGAACATTCAGAAAGCGCAACCCCCAACTTAGGGACAACTTAAGAAAGTAACCCATGATGTTGAGAAGCTGCTGCATTCCACTGGAAAATATTTATGGTTGGTAATATATTTTCAGCCATGTTGGCTGTCATAGCTACTATGATAGGCATTGACTTTATAGAATCAGGCATATACGCCTGTACTAATTTATGTTATTGAATTTAGATAGCTTCCTGGTCCGCATGATACATGGGGACCATTTATAACAACAGATAGTCAAATTATAAATGTTCAAAATTGTAAGAGAATTACTACAATATGATTTGGTAAAAGGTTTGTTTGAGTGCACTCTGATTTTGTGTAAATGTTTGTATGTTCTGTGTACTTATTACGTGTTTGCCATTTTGTGAACAGCTGTTCTCCTTTATTTTTGAGCTCAACAAAATTTTTTCATGATACAATTCGGTTGTAAATTTAAAGGCATGCTTTCACCTAAATTTCCAGCTGGTCTAAATGAAGATATTGAAATAAAGATATCTAACTATAATCCCTGAGCAGAAAAATTGTTGGGTAGGACTCCAATCAGTGAATGAAGGGGGCGTGGCTAACCTGTATTCATTAATAAGGAGCCTCCAAAGATCTCCATGATTTCTTGGGAGACACCCCCAATAACGTGTTCATGGTTAAAAGTGTTCCAGAAAAAATAAAAAATAAGGTGTTCTCATGAAAGATGTTCTTAGCACAAAACTAAAGTAAGAAACAAAGGTTTTCATATGTGTATGGCAATTTATTATTGTTAATTTCATAATGTATTGAAATGTATTCATGATTCCGGATGTATAGGTCTTCAAAATGTAAAGCAAGGATTGCTTATAAGAGTTTTGTTCAAATTCATACATTTGCCTTTGAAAAACTTCTGTGTATTTCATTAAATGATAACGGATTAGAGAAAAGCTTACATGTTAGAGATGATTGGTTGAAAGGGTTATGTCAAAATGAAAATATAAGTATGTTACAAAATGTCATGATTGTCATGTAGCAATGTCATATATGGGTTTTTGTTTTGTTTTGTTTTGTTTTGCGGTACCGGGAATCAAACTCAGGACTTTGCGCTTGCCAGGCAGGCCCAATGCCGCTGAGCTAAATCCCCAGCCCCTCATACATGGTTTTGATTGTTTAATTTCTGGGTGGGTATATGTAATTGTTGTGTTAATATTCTATTAAGATTTAAATATTGGAATATCTATGGTTGTTAAAAAATTATGGTTCCATTTGTATGTTCCAAGGTGTTTGCTGTTTAGATTATATTATAATGTTAAGCTTGTTGCCTTCGTTATGATGTTATATCATTAATCTTCTCTGCTGGATGTTTAACAACTGAGATCTGGAGACTAAATTCCAGAAAGATAATTTGGGCTAAAAACACAGCCAATATTTTGGCTATGCCCTCTGAGGTCAGTAGAGACTCAGGACATAAGAGAACCTCTATTATGACATCCTATAACTCAGTTGAGTCCCTGATTTTCTGATCAAGGAGACTATGGGACCACAGAGGAAAGTGATTCTATGCTGTGTATAGTGTGCCTAAGGAGAGTCACTAAGAGGGAAAAAAATTCTCAGGCTTTCACAGAAAGCATCTTGGTCAAGCAATGGCCGTGACTCATCCGGATGGCTGACACTGACAGGAGATCAAGAGATGCTGCATTTGGTTCCAGGAAGATTCCTGAGGAGAACTGACTTTGATAGATAGTAAAAGGTTAGAACTTTTACTTATACAAGTCTCACTATAACTTGGTCTTAGATATCCAGCAGAAAAGTGTGATCTCAAGATATAGATTGAAGGCTAATCATTGTTATGGACTCTAAACTGTGTTCTTCTTTTGCAAACATCCATTGTCATTTCTTTCAGTATTATCATTGTACTTTACCTCATATTGGTCTAGCAAAGTTCATCCAGGAAATGCTGAGAAACAGAAGACAATTGGCAGCCTTCTCGTTGATGCTTCAAAGGATTGCATTAAAACAAAAAGGGGGATGTGGGGAAAGGACTGTGATTGCTGATGGATTGATTACTGATGGTCGACTTATGATCCCCAGCCGTGCTGAGTGCACGTGGTGCAGGGTGTGGGAGGCTCGCCCGAGGATGGTTACCATCAGCTGAGAGGCAGAAATGGAAAGGGATAATGAATTTCTTCTGTTGGTCTGAGTTACATGCTTGGTTTAATAAAAGGTGATTGAGATGAGTGATCGGGGCTGCAGTCCCTGAGACTGTAGGCCCCCTGATCCCAGACTTATAGCTCTCCTGGTTTTTTTGTTTGTTTGTTTCTGTTTTCATTTTTTTTCCAGTACCGGGAATTGAACTCACAACCTCCCGCTTGCCAGGCAGGCGCTGTGCCCCTGAACTAAATCCCCAGCCCCTCTCCTGTTTTTCTTATCTCTTTTACCTTTTCATCTGAGGGCACCTCATTCTCGGGATCTGTCACTACAGTTAATACCAACAGGAGGGATGACACACTTTTCACTTTGTGTCCATCTTTACTTATCAGGGACCTGGCCGAGATCCCCAACTCCCTGTGTGAAGGATAGTGAAAAAATGAGATAAGAAATAGAAACAAATTTAGTAATGCATGACAAAGGGGCCAGGAGTTAAGTGCCTCAGGATGGGCAAAAAGACCTCAGAGCTAGGCACTATTTATTGGGTGTATACAGTAATCAGAGGAATTACTGGATGGCTCAGGGTGGTGGTGCCCTTACGCTAATGAGAATCTTTATGTTGATGAGGATGGTGGGGAGAGATGGTAGGTTAAGGAGTTTGTCCTTTCCCAAAGTGAAACCCTACCAATATTACTGCTGGGTTCTAAAGGAACCAGGATGTCTTCAGCTGGTGCAATCTTGCCTTGGGGTATCACAGCATCACAGGACCATTGAGGCCTCAACTGTCACTAGAGATACTCAGAATTATATTCCTGAATACTATAGCTAGCCTGCTTGGCAAGGCACTAGGCCTTAGACAAGTCCTAATCACAATTTAAATTTGAAATGATTTTCCCCAAAAAATTATATGGAATGGTCCTGGGCAGATCCTCTTTCCTTTTTATTTGCTTGTAGAAAGTGAATCTTCTGACCTGTGGCTGCAAGGCCTTTAGACATCATTTGGTTTGAGTTTCTCCTGGGCAAACTAAGAAGAGAAGAAGTAGACATAATCTACTTACTATTAGCACAGCAATATCAACCCCAAGTGAGCCTTGAGATAATTAGGGGGATTCATCTGATCGAGTACATCAGAAAATTTATCCCAGTTTTGAATCTGATCATCAAAAGCAATCTGTTGGGACATAGATAAGACTTCCTTTTGGAGGGCATCAAGATCCAGTTATATTTTTTTTGTTGGGGGGGGGCGTTGGTCTTGTTGTTTTGAGACAGGGTCTTACTACATAGTCCAGGCTGTCCTGAACTACTACGTAGCCCTGGCTGGCCTCGAAGTCACAGTAATCCTCCTGCCTCAGCCTCAGTGTTGGGATTACAAGCATGCACCACAGTGCCCTGCTTGAATTTGTTTCTTTATAGTTTCCTAAGGCTGTGGGGAACAATTATCAGGTAAAGGACTAATGCAAAAGCAGAAAATGTTATAATGGCATTTGAGGCTTTGCTGTAGCTGTAAACTTTTAATCTGATCTCCCATCCAAAGAACAGTAGTCTCAAGCACACTTTTTTTTTTTTTTTTTTTTTTTTGGTTCGACTTCCTTTCTATGGTCATGTTTCTGTTTCCCTGCTGTTTTTGGTTTTTCTCCGGTACCGGGAACCAAACTCACGACCTTGCGCTTGCCAGGCAGGCGCTTTGCCGCTGAGCTAAATCCCCAGCCCCTCAAGCACACTTATTTGGGATTGCAGTTCAGCATCTATAGAATGTTGTATATTCCAGGCCCCACAAGCAATCTTGGTTCAATTATCTATGAAATGAGCTGTTTGAACAGAATGGGCCAAGGCAACAGAGAAAATGGCTACATTTGAAATCAATTACACCAAAGAGACTATGCCAGCAGTGATCATCTCAGCACTGTCCTTCCTCTGCATTGGATGATCAAGCAGGACTTGTAACAAATGAAAAGTAGGTGTATATGAGCATGTTTCAGTTAAATTAACAGGAACTCATACTCCTGGCATACACCCTAGGATCATTAAAATCTTATTTTGTACAGATCCACAGGGAATATAAGGACTCAAGGTGTATTTTTACAGGTAAAGGTATTAGTACTCCATTACATATTCCCATACATAAAAACATGAGGGTTATAGATACATATGGAAGCTCAAACAGCCATATAATATGATGCTGTTATATGGCTGTATAGTATAGCCAGAGTCTGTTGTTAAACCATTACCAGCCCATAAGCTTCCTTCAATATAGGGAAGAGCCAATTTCCATAATTTTTCTGGGCAGACCCAAGTTTTCCATAATGTAAAAACTGGGGAGAAGGTGATAAAACCTCCTATCCAACTTATTTCCTTAGTAGGGACATATTTTTTTAGTCACATTATCAAGGTTAGTCTAGTTTAATTTATACCAGTTTGGACTATTGTCCTTTCTTCCCATAAAATCTCCCCATGGTCCCTAGTCAATAAATTCATGTGGTCCCAATTTTCTGTATCTTCCTGATCGGCCCCTACATATATTCCAAAGTGGAGGGGCATCTTTATGAAATCCATTCCATGTAGTGTGAGCCTGACAAATTGGGTATTTGGGTAGGAAGAAATCTATTTGTTCACCAGCCATGTGAATGGACCCCAGAGTTAACATAATAAAGTTTGCAGGGGTATGGGCCAACCAGGTCTGAGATGAGGTGGCATAACAGTGATTAAACTGTATGGAAACATCTTCCACACACACAGGAGGATAAGTGAGAAGTATAATTAACAATTGCCTTATCTTTCACATCTATAGGGATGGCTGGGCTAGTATCAAATTCACCACTAGTAAACAGGATGTGTCAGTTTCATGATAAATTTCAGGTGAGAGATCATCCAAGTAACTGGTCTAAGTAGGGGAGGGTTGAGGATGTAAGCCCAATATTCTATCCCTGACACGGGGTATATGTACCTGCACATGCTGTGATAGCCATCATAGCAACAAACATAGTGTCAGGAGTCTGTGCCAGACCCTGACAGTCTACCAGGGCATTGGCCTCATGAATTGTCTTCTCCAGGCTCTTGTTTGTAATTTGTTTGGCCTCCATCATTGACGGGGTTGGAATTGTCACCGGCTGATCATTGAGACTCATCTGTACAAAAGTCGTTGTCCTTGGCTGGGTTTTTCTGTCTTCCACAGTTGCACATTCTTGGATGGCAACCACACTGGTGATCCATCTCCTATTAAAATAGAAGCATACCCTCATTCTCCAGGTTATTAATGGTGATGTACCTTCCCATTTACCTGTCTGTGTATCTTTCCACAAGACCTGAGCATGCGGCAGTCTAGAGTCAGGCTGAGATTGCCAGTGTAATTCAGCTGAAGTTCAGTTGTTTTCTGTCCATGAACTTAAAAAATTTAAGGTGAAGATGGTATGGTCCAATTGAGCCTGTGGAGGAAGCTATATTCCCCCTTTTAGTTTATTTAATTGATTTTTGAGTGTTAAATGGACCCTTTCTACTATAGTTTGGCCTTGTGGATTATATGGAATGCCTAGAAGATGCTTAATATGTCATAGCTGAAAAAAGAAAGATAATTCTTTGCTAATATAAGAAGGACTGTTATCTGTTTTTATAGCTTTTGGCACTCCCATAGCACCAAAAGCAGACAAATGGTGTTGTTGAAAATGTCCTATTTTTTTCTCCAGAATAACAAGTAGCATGCATTAAATGGGAATAGGCATCAATAGAAACATGAACATATTGCAAGTGCCCAAAAGAGGGGATATGAGTAACATCCATTTGCCAAATTTCATTTCGTTTGAGCCCCCTGGGATTGCTACCTTCAGAGGGTACTGGGTGAGGGATTTTTTGATAGAGCAAGAGAGAACAAAATTTCTAGACTGTGAGCATGACAATTGAAATACTTTTGCTAAAGCTTTACTATTTTGATGGTGATACCCATGTGATTGTCTACCCAGATCAAAAGAGGAAACAAAAGCTATTAACAGATTAGTCTGCTGATTACCGTAAGCTAAAAATCCAGGTAAATTAGAATGAGATCTGGCATGTTCAATGAAGAATAGGGCGGTACGGCTGTGAATGATACACTGTAATTTTTTTTTTTTTTTTTTGTCTTTCTTGAGACAGGGTCTCGCTGTGCGGTTCAGGCTGGCCTTGAGCTCACTTTGTAGCCAATACACTGTAATTTTAAAAATAGGTTAAGCAAGGGTGGGTCTAAAGTGGCCCATGGGCTAGGGATATAGCTCAGTGGCACAAGCACCTGACTGGCAAGCGCAAGGTCATGAGTTCGATTCCCAGTACCAAAATAAATAAATAAATAAATAAATAAATAAATAAATAATAAAGTGGCCTGCAACATAGCACTCTTGAGCCTTTGAGTGAGAAACACTGCATAACTGGAATTGCTGATAGTATTCACAAGAGTTTGTTGTATCATCTCTAAAACAGAAAAAGTAGCAGTTATTTATGATCACTGTGCTGAAAGGTTAGGGGTTAAAGTGACATGCTGAAAATCTGGACTCCATATGGCCACTTTTCCTATAGAAGAGCCATCTGTGAAAAAAGTAGGTGCATTAGAAATGGGCTCTAGGTAAAATATAAGGGTGTTTAAGAATGAATTGAAGAAAGAATCATTAGGAAAATGATTGTCAACCTATCCAATGAAGTCTGCAAAAGCCACTTGCCAATATATAGCTTGTTGTAATAATATAGCATTTTGAGTCAACTTATGGGTAGAACTTTTATAGAGGGATCAGCAGCAAAAAGCTGAGTAGAATGGGCTCTTCCATTTATCATAATTTTAGCCATTTATTGACTATATAATTGTAAAGTTTTCACCAGTTGATTAGGAAGATAAAGATATTCTATGGGGAGTAATTGATTATCATAGAATTGACCTTAACAATCCTGTAGGAGAATGTGGAGTGTCAGGTACATACAAGATAAGAGGATATTGGATGTTAATACAATGATACACCTGGCATTGGCGCAGCATTGATTCTACTAGCTTTACCTTTTTTTTTGGGTGGGTACTGAGAATCAACTTGGGACCTTGAGCTTGCCAGGCAGGTGCTGCAGCACTGAGCTATATTCCTGGCCCCATACTGGCTTTAACTCTTGTGAGGCCTCCATGCTTAAGGTGTGTGGAGAGTCAATCTGGGCGTCACCTTGCAGAGTTTCATAAAGATGCTTTAATGGATAAGTGTCCATGTCTAATTTAGAGCAGGTCCCATTAATATCTCCTAGCAACTTTTGGAAATCATTCGAAGTCAACAGCAAGTCTTGTCCTATTTTGTTTTTTTTGAGGTCTTAACATCCATTCTGTTAATAAAGCTCCTAAATAATAATAAGGGTTGGAAGTCTGTACCCTATCAGAAACTATGCAAAGGCTAAAAGCCTTTTCACCAAGGCAAACATGTCATATAGTTTGATTTAGAATTAGTTGCTAATAAAATATCATCCATGTAATGGATGATACATGCTTGAGGAAATTGTTCTCTGGCATTTTGCAAGGCTTGTCCTACAAAACGTTGACACAAGGTAGGACTATTTCTCCCTTGTGGGAGAGATATCCACTGATATCTTTTCATAGGTTCCTTAAAGTTAGCACTAGGTGCAGAAAAAGCAACTGTCTGACAATCAGAAGGATGTAAGGGAGAGGCTGGGGATTTAGCTCAGGGGCACAGTGCCTGCCTGGCAAGCGCAAGGTCGTGAGTTCGATTCCCGGTACCAGAAAAAAAGGCAAAAGAAAAAAGAAGGATGTAAGGGAATTGTAAAGAACCCATCCTTGAGACCTATGACAGCTGGGCGTGGTGGCACACACCTGTAATCCCAGCACCAGGGAGGCTGAGGCAGGAGGATCATTGTGAGTTTGAGACCAGCCTGGGCTACAAAGTGAGCTCAAGGCTAACCTGAACTGCAGAGCAAGACTCTGTCTCAAGAAAAAAAAAAAAGACCTGTGACAGTCAGGGGCTACTCCCTAGGCACAGCACTGGGGATGGAAGCCCCGTCTGCAAAGCCCCCACCAGCTACAAACAAGCATTAACTGCTCTCAAATCCTGTAATAATCTCCATTTACCTGATTTTTTAGGCATAACAAACACAGGTGTACCAAGGACTAACCAACAGCCCCAAGTGATCCAGTTGAATTTGTTCCTGTATTAACTCATATAGATGTACAAGCTTCTTTTTTTTTGTTTTGTTTGGGGTTTTTTTGTTTTTGTTTTTTGAGACAGGGTTTCACTGTGCAGTTCAGGCTGTCCTTGAACTCACTTTATAGCCCAGGCTGGCCTTGAACTCACAGCAATCCTCCTACCTCAGCCTCCCAGGTGCTGGGATTACAGGCATGTGTCACCATGCCCAGCTAAGCTTCTCTTTTTTTTGAGGGGCCATTGATCTACCAAACAGTAGTTTCAGTGTTCCATTTTAAGAGTAAAGCCATTTTTGGAGGAAAAGTATCAGTGGTCACCACTAAGAAGGACTTTTTTTTTTGGTGTATTTGAGACAGGTCTCACTATGCAGTTTAGGCTGGTCTTGAACTCTCTTTGTAGCCCAGGCTGGCCTTGAACAAACAATGATCCTCCTGCCTCAGTCTCCCAAGTGCTGGGATTACAGAATGTGCCACCACACCCAGCTTACAAAAAAAGGATTTTGATACCCGGTTCCAGTGCCAGCATAGTCTGACTTAATTTTAACATCTAAGGGCTGGGAGTTTTCTTGAATATTTTTTCCAGCCTTTACCTTGTGTATGTCCCATCTTATTCATAGCTTTTTGAACAACTGAAGGGGATTCAGTAGTCAATTTCATTTTCCATTCTTTTAATAAATCTCGTCCCCACAAGTTTATTGGATTACAGGCTACCTAGGGAAGAAACAAACCAGTTTGACCTTCAGGCCCGTGATATGTTAAGGGAGACTCACTTTGTAAAACATGTTGGGGTGAAGCGAGTCCCACCAATGATGCAGAAGCTGGCTTAGCAGGCCAGGAAGTGGGCTACTGATGAAAGGAGATTATAAAAACATCAGCCCCTATAACTAATAGGCCTTGAGAGGTTCTTCTATTAATTGTAATGGAGCACATGGGTCACTCTTCCAGCAGCTGTTGTGTAAAATAAATTTTTTTTTTTTTTTTTTTTTTTTTTTTTTTTTTTTTCAGGGTCTCACTATGCAGTTCAGGCTGACATTGAGCTCACTTTGTAGCCCAGGCTGTTCTCAAAATTGCAACGATCCTCCTGCCTCAGCCTCCTAAGTGCTGGGATTACAAGTGTGTGCCATCATGCCTGGCTAAATTTCTCTTTTTGAACCTTTTTTTGTTTTTGTTTTTGTTTTTGTTTTTTTTTCCGGTACCAGGAATCAAACTCACGACATTGCGCTTGCCAGGCAGGCACTATGCTGTGGAGCTAAATCCCCAGCCCTCTTTTTGAACCTTCTCCCATTTTTTGTCCTAACTGTGGGCTCTGCCTAAAACAGGCATCTCCAGGTGGCATTACTGGTAATATCAGTTGAGCAATATATTCTCCAGGCTCGATCACCCAAATATCCATTGTCTGTACAAAGACTTGAATCTCATTTTCATAATATTTACCAATAATACTGGGTATAACAATAAGACCAGGGCTGGGGATTTAGCTCAGCGGCACAGCGCCTGCCTGGCAAGCGCGAGGTCATGAGTTCGATTCCCAGTACTGGAAAAGAACCAAAAAAAAAAACAACCAAAACAAGAAGACCTTTTTTTTTTTTTGTCTTTTTGAGACAGGGTCTTGCTATGCAGTTCATGCTGGCCTTGAGCTCACTTTGTAGTTCAGGCTGAAGACTTCTCAAATGTAAAGAGGTTTTTCCCACAATTAATCCAATAGTATTTTTAGGTAGAAGTTCTCAAATCCCAGTGGGAACAGCAACTGGCTTGTCACCCCCAGTGAGATTTACGTCTTGGGCAATAGATCTAATCCTGTGCTCCCTGAGTTCCTTGAGTGAGGGAGGCAATGTTCCTGTGGGAATCCAAGCCTGTTGTTGGGCCCGGACTGGCTAAGTCTGATGAGGTTTCGATTGGATTGGAAATCTGATTGAAAACTTGATTCCCCATTGGGTCACACCTAGTCTTTGGGGAACCCGGGGTTCAGCTCTCTGTTTCCTGACAGGGGAGTTCCATCTCTGTGATACTTAGATCGACAGTGACTAGCCCAATTATATCCTTTTCACATCATGGACAGAGACCCAGTTCACCCTCATTACTTCCCAGACTAGAGTTAGTGGAAGTTCCAGAGGTGTTAGAGTTATTACCTTGGCTTATAGATATACATTGTTGATAAAGATGTCCCACTTTGCCACAATTAAAACATATAACATTTTTGGCATTATTTTACCTTGTCTTTTAAGAGCCAGCATAGCTTGAGCTAAAACACGCCCTATGAGTTTCCGAACCAATATCCTGACAAGCCTTAATATAACTGTTTAAATCTTTAGAAGCTCGTAAGATGGCCAAAGCCTGTTTACAGTCTTGGTTGGCATTGTCATAAACGAATTGAACAAGTATGTCAGCTGCATGAGCATGAGGAATTTGTGTATAGCTTCTTGTAGTCAGGCCATGAACTGTGTGTAAGGTTCTCTTGGCCCCTGTAAGATATTAAGAAAAGACTGTACAGGAGCCCCATTCTCAGGCACAGTAAGCCAGGCTTTTCATGATGTGTCGTATTTGTTCAGAAGTCTCACTGGTGTACTGAAACTGTTGGGTTACATCTGCAAACTGTCCCATTCCCAATAACATGTCTGCAGTTATATTAGCACTATCATCCCATCTGTTTCTGTCAGCCTGATCCATAGCTTGCTCTTCCAATTGAACACTAAAATGTAAATACTGACTAGGAGACAGACAGGAGTGGATAAGATGTCTCACATCGTGAGCTGTTAAGTAGTAAGTCACCACAATAAAATCTAAAATCCCCAAGGTAAAAGGCATTCTTGTTTTTTGTTATTTAGGTTGGGTTTTTTGGTACCAGGAATCAAACCCATGACCTTGCACTTGCCAGGCAGGCACTGTGCCGCTGAGCTATATCCCCAGCCTACACTGTTTTAATCCCTTTAACAATTTAAAGTCAAAAGTTTGATGTTCTGCCAGCAGCTGATTCTGAGCAGCTGGGTCAGATCTATAGCTCACTGGAGAGCAGCAAGGTCCAGGAACTTCTCCTTGCCTGGCTGCTTCTCTTGCTGCAGCATGATAACTAGACAGCCTGGCTCTGACCTCTGATGGCCTGAAGGCACCAGCCCTGGAATTTCTCCATCCACTGTTTCTACCATTAGTTCTTCCCCAATTATAGGGGGAACACTTGGAGATTTTACCTTCTCATGTATTGGTCCTTTTTCCTGTTGTAACTATTGGCTCTCTTTACCATCTGATTTTTCTTCTCTATTATCATCCTCCCTAATTCAGTCTAGCATTGGTGCTTTAGACTGCACAATGTTTAAGGGTCCTAAAACAGATCTTACTAATCCCCAAGAGCAGAATTTTTTGATGATACTATTTCACCCCTGCCATGAGCTCCTTTTAAACTGTCACCGATTCTATCCCAGTCTTCTAATCTAAAGTTCCCACCTGCAGAAACCAAGGATTGAATTTAACAATCTCATGCCCCATTTTAGTTAAGGTGCCAGTATTAACTCGAGTTCTCACTTGTTTAAGCAGTTTACACAAGAGTTGGATGTAACTCTGCTGTTCTTTTGATTGCTTCTGCCCCATTTTCCCAGCTACAGACACTTTTCCCAGCACCAAGTACTTTACCTTTCACTTTCTGTTTGGACTTTCCCAAATTTGTCCCATGGAGTCCTCTCGCCATCGCATGTCCTCTTCTTTCCCCTTGGGTGGATCTTCCCTCTCAGACCTAATCAGGAGGTCCCTCTTCAGGCACCAAATATTGGGGACCTGGCCAAAATCCCCAACTGCCTGGATAAAGGGGTATGGTGAAAGGATGAAATAAGAGACAAATTTAGCAATGTATGACGGGAGCCAGGAAGTCAATACCTCAGGATGGGTAGAGACAAAGACCCTCTGAGCTCGCCAATATTTATTGGGTGTATACAGTGATCAGAGGAATTATCAGAAGACTTTGAGCATCAAATGACTTAGAGGGTGGTGGATGACCTTATGCTGAGAAGGTCTTATGCTGAGGAGGATCACTTCGGATGACTTAGAGGACAGCGGTGACGTGCTGATGAGGACGGTGGGGAGAGATGGCAGGTTAAGGAGTTTGTCCTTTCCCAAGATGAAACTATTTTTATTACTACTGGGTTCTTAAGGAACCAGGATGTCTTCAGCTAGTGCAGTCTTGCCTTGGGGCGTCACAGCATCAAGGACCATTGAGGCCTCAACTGTGACTGGAGATACTCAGAATTATGTTCCCAAATACCATAGCCTGCCTGGATGGCAAGGCACTCAGAATTATGTTCCTGAATACCACAGCCAACCCACATGGCAAGGCACTAGGCCTTGGACAAACCCAATCACAATTTAATTATGAAATGATTTTCCCCCCAAAATTATATAGAATGGTCCTCAACAGATCACCATGAGTTTGAGGCCAGCCTGGACTATATAGTAAGTTGAAGACCAGCCTGACCTGCATAGGTAGACCCTATCTCCAAAGAAAAGAAAA